TCCTGATAGGGTCGGGGGAAGACAAGAGAGGGTGTTAAAAAGGGAGGTGATCAAAAGGGAGAGAGAGAAGAAATGGATCGTAGGTGAAAATAACCCTCCCTCCCTCCCCTCCCTGCCCTCCTGCCACGACTGCCCCACTATCACCACCGGCCCCGCTGCCCTCACGTAGTCTCTGAAATCGTCGTCGAATATGGGCGGGTGGGGACCTGGTTGGGACGGGAGTAGGTGTGGGGAGAGAGGAGTAGAAGTGAGGGTGAGAAGAATGGAGTGCAGGAGAAAGGAACCCTTTACTCTCGCCCCTCCTGCCACAACTGCCCCACTATCACCCCCGGCCCCACTGCCCTCACGTAGTCTCTGAAATCGTCGTCAAATATGGGTGGGTGGGGACCTGGTTGAGTAGGGGAGCGGCGGGAAGAAGGGAAAAGAGGGAATCCATAACAGGACTGGAAAAACCTGTAGCACAACAAACCTGCCATTATAGACTTCAGACACGAGCTTTCATTTCAGTTCCTTTGACATAAACACAGCTTCTTTCACGGTTCAACCCCCCTTATTAAAATAAGAAGTGTCACAAAGCCCAACTCACGAGGGTCAGGAAAGCCTTCGGGCAGCCCGGAATCTTTCAGGTGCAGCTGCCCGGATTCGTAGTCAAAGGAAAGATCGCACGGCTCGTCTGTTGCGAGGACATGCGCTGCCGCCCGGATGCGGAAATACAAGGGTGTGATTGTATTGGATAGGCCAGTAAAGAGGGGGCCACCTGATGGGGTGGGGTGAGAGGAAAAAGGGGGGTATATTGATGTCAGTTCTTGTTTGGAAACTCTAATAAGTGACTCCATTATATCCTCGCACGTGTGCAAGTACAAGGTCGACTTTTGAGTCGACTCAAAAGTCAAGTACAGGGGTGTAACTGTATTGAAGAGGCCAGTAAAGAAGGGGCCACCTGAGGAGGTGAGGGGAGAAGGAAGAGATTGAGAGAAAAGACTCTGAGAGGACAGCAACAAATGTATGTTATGGCTGGAATCACATTCTTTTCTCCTTCGTTACTAAGCTGAGGTGTAACGTACCTTTGAGGTGTAACGTACCTTTGAGGTGTGACGTACCTTTGAGGTGTGACGTACCTTTGAGGTGTGACGTACCTGAGAGATGTAACATAGCTGAAAGTTGTAGTAACGCACGTGAGAGATGTAATGTACCTGAGATGTAACATACCTGAGATGTAACGTACCTGAGATGTAAACTACCCGGATTCTTGAACAAACCTGAGAGATGTAACGTACCTGAGATGACTCGACCATAGCGCAGCCCATCAGTCCCAACAAAAAACGTCTGCAGAAGAGCAAGAAAAATGGCAAATTATGTGGGTCATTTTTGGAGACTAAACATCAGTGACATAATTAATAACGTCTGCAGAAGAGACGACATAAGTGGGTCAGAGAGAAGCGAGCAAATGGTGAACTAGCAGGCATACTACACGAATTCATGGGAACAAAGAGGCAGGAGCAAAGGGGCGTTAGTACCTTTTGAAACCGCGAAAGCCATGAGAGTGGACCGGGGACTGGTGTATGTGGGGGTCGGATGGGATGGGAGGGGCGGATGGATAGGCAAACGGAGAATTAAGCAATGAACAGTCATGTTCCCAAACCACTGCGCAAGTGAGCCATAAGAGCAGAGATGGGACTGGTTGGGTGGGTATGGGGTAGGTGGTGAGGGAATGCAATGGAGAGGTGGAGAGAGGAGCGTGTTATTGGGGAGAGTAGTTGAGATGGGGAGAGCTGTAGAGGGGGACGGAGATATGGAGAGAGGTGTAGAGGGGGACAGGGAGATAGTGAGAGGTGCAGAGGGGGATAGAGATATGGAGAGGGGTAGCGGGGGATGGAGAGATGGAGAAAGTTGTGAGATTCCACTGACAATAGAGAGTGTTGCACACCCGCTGGAATGGAGGGCCATGTGTTGAGAATGAGAAAGAACTGGACACATGTGTTGAGAAGGAGAAAGAACTGGACACATGTGTTGAGAAGGAGAAAGAACTGGACACATGTGTTGAGAAGGAGAAAGAACTGGACACATGTTGAGAAGGAGAAAGAACTGGACACATGTGTTGAGAAGGAGAAAGAACTGGACACATGTGTTGAGAAGGAGAAAGAACTGGACACATGTGTTGAGAAGGAGAAAGAACTGGACACATGTGTTGAGAAGGAGAAAGAACTGGACACATGTGTTGAGAAGGAGAAAGAACTGGACACATGTGTTGAGAAGGAGAAAGAACTGGACACATGTGTTGAGAAGGAGAAAGAACTGGACACATGTGTTGAGAAGGAGAAAGAACTGGACACATGTGTTGAGAAGGAGAAAGAACTGGACACATGTGTTGAGAAGGAGAAAGAACTGGACACATGTGTTGAGAAGGAGAAAGAACTGGACACATGTGTTGAGAAGGAGAAAGAACTGGACACATGTGTTGGGAAGGAGAAAGAACTGGACACATGTGTTGGGTTGGGAGGACAGTCACTCACAACCTCCCAACCCACCCTCCTGCCGTTTCCCCTTCCCCTTCCCCTTTCCCTTCCCCTCCACATCAACCTTTTCCCCTCTGCTCCCCACTCTTCCACTCTTCCTTCCCCTCCCTTCCACTCCCCTCCCTCCTCTCCCCTCCAATTCCCTCCCCTCCCCTCCTGTCGCCTCCCCACCCCTCCCCTCCCCTTGCCTCCTCCTCCCCCCCTCTCTCCACTCCCCCAAGCATCCCTCACCTCCAATCACCCTCCCATCCCATATTTCTGGCTGCAGCGGTGCTGACGTGGCAACGTCTGGCAGCATCCCGCCTGCTGACGTCACTGGGTCTGCACCTTCCTCCCCATCTTCCTGCTCCAGCTGAAAGCGATTGCCGGCCGCATCCCACATGAGGGTGATGTGACTAAAACGAGAGCAAGGGGGCAAACAGGGGGAGAAGAAGGACGAGGGGAATAGGTTGGGATGGGTTGTGGTGGATCACGGCGTCCCACACGGTTATGAAATGCAATATAAAAAAGGGTACTGACTATAATATGGAATGCAATGGAAAGGAGGTGTACTGACTGGGGTCTGATCAGGTCCAGGAGCCTGATAGGTGAAGTGAGTAGGTTATGAAATGGAAAAAAAAAAAAACTAAGTGTACTGACTGTGGTTTTAGCAGGTCCAGCAGCCTGTGACGCCTCTCCTCGGGAATGTCGCCAATCTTCCTCCTGCAGCCAATCAGAGCGCGACAGATCCGAAGAGAGAATAAGGGAAGGGGAATGATGGTGAATGATCAAGGAACGCGAATGAGAAAGTGTGAATAACGACCCTCTTCTGAGAAAGTTTGAATAACGACCCTCTTTTGAGAAAGTTTGAATAACGACCCTCTTTTGAGAAAGTTTGAATAACGACCCTCTTTTGAGAAAGTTTGAATAACGACCCTCTTTTGAGAAAGTTTGAATAACGACCCTCTTTTGAGAAAGTTTGAATAACGACCCTCTTTTGAGAAAGTTTGAATAACGACCCTCTTTTGAGAAAGTTTGAATAACGACCCTCTTTTGAGAAAGTTTGAATAACGACCCTATACGAGCCAAAGTGAGAAGCAAGGCTGACTCTTGCAAGCGAATAAGAAAGATATTGCCTCACCTACGGAACGATACATATGTACAACAAATCAATAACACCGAATGAACCTCGTGCTCGATAATTATGCCTCGATCGAAACGCTCACCACAGGAATACTGCCGGATTGTAAGTTTCCGGATCGGACGGCCGTAAATACCGCGAGCCGTCCAGGAATCCCGGAATATCCAGCTCATCTAGATAGTACTTTCGTCCGTCGACGAATCTGTACGGCTTCTCCTCTTCCTGCTCCACTTGCGCCATTTGCTCCGCTATAATCTCCCTCAATTTCGCCTGGCGTCGCTCGGCTGCTTCTGACGCCGCTATTGAAACGTTCCTATCGCCGTTTGATGCACTCTGAACGCGCCGCGAGCGTCGGCGGGTGATTTTATTAGATGTGATTCTACCGGATGTGCTTCTGGAGCCTCTGGCGCAAACGGTGGAGGAAATGGCTGGCGGCACGGCCAAAATCTGGGGAAACAACGAAGCCATGGGGGCGACGGCCATGGTTTCCATGGAAAGGGACGAGCTTGGGGCAAGAAAACCTCTTCGGAATTTGAAGACTCTTTGGAGCGAGGACTACGACTATCTTTCGACTATCTTTCTCCCTCTGACACCCCAGCAGGTGGAATTTCATAAAAATAATGAGTGCTGCTAGCCCCGTGATTGACGCTGCTTGGGGGGGAGGGGGCAATGCCTGTTATCCGCAACATGGTTGCTGCCATGGCGTCGGTTTGGTTTCTTGTTACACCTGCGGTGTAGGAGATAAAACGTAGGTGAACGTAGCACACCAAATATGATTATGCCGAATTTCTTTTTGGTGCTAGCTATAGCGGAATATTGCAAGGGCTATCTCTGTCAATTGTACTCTATGCACTGTTCAACTTAAACGCAACTTGCAAATAACGAGGATCTGATTTGTTGGAAGCTCACACTTCTCGTCCTCCACCGATATCCACGCCAGCACAGCTCGCGGCGTGTTTACAACCAATCAGGGATAAGGAGCAGGTCTCGAAAACTGTGCTGGTTTTGTCTGGGGCGCTGTTTTCGGGCATCTCATAAGTTCGTTCCTCCCACACAGTTTTGGTGGCAGAGCCACTAGTGTACATTCCTGATCGACGATAAGGGGTTTTGTGTGAACTGCTACACGCCTTTCAGTAGGCAATAGGGAAAGTTACCTGAGTCAAAAAGCTTCGCGCGCAAGTGACCCTGGGGCTTGCCGCGTCTCCAGTTTCTCATTATTCAGCAGGGTTCTCCATGTTTCTTCATTCCTGTGTTTTGCTTTCCTGATTAGGTTTTCTCAACTCTCCGTTTTCCTCAATCACTCTTTCCTCCCCTAGCGGCCCTTGTACAACGCTAAGCATTCGCGTGATTGGTGGGGTTCTAAGATGAGGAGCTTAGCTCCTCTTCCGAGTAGGCAAGTAGGGCCGGGAGCATTTCCTCGTCTAGGTCACGCGTTGCTGGCCACTAAAAACGCGGTCCGGGCTGGCTCGGGAAATGTTAGTGGCGAGAGCGCGGAGGAATGGAGCGGTATGTTCGCGGCTGATTCGCGGAGGCGAGTTTGGCCCAACGGTGCAGAGACGGAGAATCAGGTTCGTTCGCATATCGTTCTCGTTCGTCCTTGAGTGCGAGCGCTTTTGTCGTTAGACGCAAAGCTGTCATTCAGGTCCTTCCTAGAGATTTTTTTCTCCGTTTAGCCTCGAGTTTCTTTCATACTAACGCCTCGAGATTTGTACGTGTTTCCACATAATAGCCATTTCAATTTTCGGGTCGACTTTTATGCATCGTCGTCCTTGGTTGACCCTGATCGCAGAACTCGATGGTATGGTTGCCGAGCGCGTTCACAGGAGCGGCTTTTGAGATGCCTCAAAAGTCGTTTACAGGAGCGCAGCCAGCGCTGGCGGACGGAGATTTTCCAGGAATCGACGAACACGAACGACCGTATTTTCGGTACCCCACCGCAGCAGCGCACAAAGCAACCGCAGCCGCGCAGGGAGGAACTGCAGCAGGTGGAGGAACCCTAGCAGGAGCACCAGCAGCAGCAGCAGGGACAGCAGGAACAAATGCTGAATCGTTTGCGATGATTAGAGCTCGCGAGTCCACCCCAGCTCATTTCGCCATTCGCCATTCTCCTGTCGCAAGCGACTCAGCCCCGGCAGCAGCAGCCGCCGCCGAGGGCTCGAGATACAACCCCGACGCGCTCCGAGTCCTTTCCGAAACCCTAGCTCCACGACTGAGTCGCTCTGGCTCCACAGCAACCTCTCTTTCACTCACTCCAGCCTCTAATAACTCCTCAGCTGAAGCGATCGTCGTATCTAGGGATGGTGTCGGATTGCCAGGGTCGCCAGGATCGCCGGGTGAAAACGCGATTGGGAAAAGCGCCGAGTTTTCAGGATCGAGCAGGGTGGGAGGCGACGCGACGCTGGGAGGATTCTTACCTCCGCGAATGGCGGGGCTCAGGCTGACGTGGTCGTGGGAGGAGTGGATTTTGGGGCTCGGGATTGGCGCTGCGGCTATTGGCTTCGCCATGGCTCTTGTCACGAGCGCGACTGGCGGGAGACTCGGACTTGGTCGAAACATGTCCGCCGTTGTAGCCCCCACCGGGAGGGCTGTTAGCGGGGTTGTTCTTAGCGAGGCTGCTGCTGCTAGCGGGTCGGTTCTTAGCGGGGATCTTCTGGCAGGTGGCGATGCGGCAGCAGCGGCCGGCAGGGGGGCCGCGGCGCCAGTGATAATGTTGGGGGAGGAGCAGCTTATAAGGGTCGGAGAAACCGGAAAGAAGGTTCCGTTCTACCTGTAAGTGTTGAGAGAATTTCTGCTGGTTTCCACACGAGTGGGCGACGTCTCTCACGGTCCGTGGTGTGTTTTATGTCTTCTCTCCCCATTGTTCGTTCCAAGTTGTTTGCTCGTTCTCCAAGTCCCGCATGTGGTTTGTGTTATTGTGTCATTCTGTACTGTGTGTCGACCAGGAGGGAGGCGAAGCCAGGCGTGAATTTTGAGGCGCCTCAAATGTTGACGTTCTTGTTTGATTTGTGTCCTTGCGCCCTTCTGTACTGTCCGGCGACCAGGAGGGAGGCGAAGCCAGGAGTGATCGAACTGTCTGCGGCCACTCTGCCCCACGTGCTGCGACTCAGGTGAGCTCTCAGGTGATCTCAGGTGCTCTCAGGTGAGCTCTCAGGTGATCTCAGGTGCTCTCAGGTGAGCTCTCAGGCGATCTCAGACGTTCTCAGGTGAGCTCAGGTGTTCCCAAGGCAACACGGAATAACTCGCAAGTGCTCTTAGATTGAGTCGATTCGCGTCCAAGTAGAAGCAAGCACTCTCCGGTGCTCTCAGGTGCTCTCCTCCAGTGCTCTCCGGTGCTCTCCGGTGCTCTCAGGTGCTCTCCAGTGCTCTCCGGTGCTCTCAGGTGCTCTCAGGTGCTCTCAGGTGCTCTCCAGTGCTCTCCGGTGCTCTCAAAAACAACCTGCAACAGCATAGAGGCGGAATGGCGGTGTGGCTGCATGTGTGCCTCCACTTCCTCCCACGTTTCTCCTCTCTCCCTCTCCAGGCCCACGCTCGTCATGTTCTACGCGCCCTGGTGCCCCTACTGCCAGCGCATGGAGGCCGCATGGGCAGGCCCGAAGGCCGCTGGGTTGCCAACCAATCTCCCATGTTCGTGCTTTCCCACCACCCATTCCTTTTCCCCAGGCCCACGCTCGTCATGTTCTACGCGCCCTGGTGCCCCTACTGCCAGCGCATGGAGGGGGCATGGGCGCCTCTGGCAGAGAAGCTTCATCAGGAGAGCTTCAACGTGCAGGTAGGAGAGTTAGGAGTTGTATGGCCCGGTGCAGGTGGGTGGGTTAGTGGTATGGCTCGGTGCAGGTGGGTGGGTTAGTGGTATGGCTCGGTGCAGGTGGGTGGGTTAGTGGTATGGCTCGGTGCAGGTGGGTGGGTTAGTGGTATGGCTCGGTGCAGGCGGCGTGCGAGACATAGGCTGCATGCTGCAGGCGGCATGGGCGGCTCTGGCGGAGAAGCTGCATCAGGAGAGCTTCAACGTGCAGGTGGGGAGTTGGGGGTGGTGTGGCTCGATACAGGTTGGTGAGTGGTGGAAGGCTCTGTGTGCTGTGTTAAAGGGGATGAAGGGACGAAAAGGAAGTTGCACCAGGAGAGCTTCAACGTGCAGGTGGGGGTGTTGGGAGTGGTATGGTTCGGTGCAGTAGGCACAGTGAGTGGTAAGAATCCCCCTCAGGGTGTCTGGGAACGCTTGCATGGATGGTCTGCTTGCTGAATGCGGCATGGGCCGCTTTGGTGGAGAAACTGCACCTGGAGGGCTGCTCCAGGTGAAGGTGTTGTGAGTGGTATGGCTCGGTGCAGTTTGGGGTTGTGAAGGGACCCCACACTTGATTATGCTCAAGAGACAATCTACCCCTCTCCTCCCACCCACAACCAGGTAGCGCGCGTGGATGCATGCTGATACCCCTAGCTCACTGACAAGACCCCAGGCATCTGCATCCCTTTCCCCTGCCTGCTGCCCTACAAGTTAATCCATCCCACTCCACTCCACCCACCCACAACCAGGTGGCCCGAGTGGATGCATACAGATACCTTAAGTTAACTGACAAGTACAAGATCACCAGGCTATCCCCACGCTCATGCTGTTCAATGGATAGAGATACACTAGTTGCCACGTGCCAAGACCCATGAGTCAATTCACCTCTTTTCTCCCTCAATCAACAGGTGGCAAGGGTGGATGCATACCGATACCCTGAGTTAACTCACTAGTACAAGTTTCCAGGCTTCCCCACTCTCTTGCTGTTCAACGGAGAGATTGCTAGAGGCCTAGGCAGACATGTCAGTTCATCCCTTTCCTCCCTCAAACAACGTGCATTGAGGTGTATTTGAGGTGCCTCAAAATACACCTCAGTTCATCCCTTTCCTCCCTCAAACAACACATAGCACGCGTGGATGCATATCGATACCCCGAGCTCACAGACAAGTACAAGATGCCGGGCTTCCCAACCCTCATGCTGTTCAACGGAGAGATACACTGACAGAGTCAATCCACCCCCTTCCTCCCACCCATAATCAACAGGTGGCAAGGGTGGATGCGTACAGATACCCAGAGTTGACAGACAAGTACAAGATCCCTGGCTTCCCCACGCTCATCCTGTTCAACGGAGAAAGTGACTGACAGGCACCTAAATATATGAATCAATTCACCCCTTCCCCTCTCTCAATCAACAGGTAGCACGGGTGGATGCTTACAGATACCCCGAGCTAACGGACAAGTACAAGATCCCTGGCTTCCCCACACTCATGCTGTTCAACGGAGAGAGGCCCGTTGCGACACACAGGGGCAGGAGAAACCTGGAGGCACTGTTTGCCTTTGTGGAAAAGCATTTTTAGCGGCGTGAGGGGGTGGCTTTTCCTGCACCAAATGAAATGACAGACGGGACGAGTCGCCTGTTGCGACGCACGAAGGGAAGAGGAACCTGGAGGCGCTGTTTGCCTTCGTGGAAAAGCATTTCTAGCAACGTGGGGAATGCACGTGGAGAGGCATTTGGTATTGCTGGCTGTTGGTGATTCGATGGAGCGGATGAGGAACGAGTTGGACTCTGAAGCACTGCTAGTGGTTGAAGCCCCGGGCCTAGGTGACGCGGTGCGGAGGAGTGCTGGATGGGGTGAATCTCCCACCTGCTTGTAATGGGTCGTATTATAGGCGCATCAGTTAGGGACTTGTCTCGTAGCACAAGTTGCTCGGGAGTGGGGTGTGGTCTGTAGATCCAGCAGCAATAAAGTGAGTTATATAGTAGTTCTAGTAGTAGCAGTACCGGGGACTATACACAGTTTCCAGCATGGTAGGTATAGAGCATATGATGTAGAACTTCTGGTAGGGTACACAGCTTCCGGTGTGAGGCATGTACGGCAGTCTAGTCTATTCTAGGTCTAGAGGTCTAACAGTTGGCAGTAAGCAGTTATCTCCAACACTGGGTATTGGCTCATTGCTGAACTTCCTTGTGCGGATACATTATATACCGTATTACCGGTAGATTGTGGACATACGGTACCGAACTTAAAATTGGTATTATGCAATCTGTAACTGTGTAGTGCACCTTCAGAAAGAGCAAACTGGAAGAGATGACAAAATTATTCATCAAGCTCTTTATACAAGATAAAGAATACATTATCAATAACAAATAAGGCATTTAGAGCAGAGTACCAGGCCCCAAAATTGGTTTAGGCTCACCCTTACAAATCAGAGCTCCAGCTGTGGCCAACTCTGAGTCCTAGGGTGAAATTTGTCGAAGTCTGATGGGTGCAGGGTAAAAACAAAATTACTCTGATCTAGTCAGTGCAAACAGGCACCCAACACTGATTGTTACTGCAAAATCCCGCACACAATGCTTTGAGGTTGTTTTACATTAAGAAAGTCGATACATCTGAAAAATGTCCCACTAATCTACACCTACATTGCCGTAGGCACACTCCCCTCTACATCCTCTTGTGCAAACAAGGTCTTGCTCTCGTTGCTGCCGGTGAAGTCTTTTGTAGACTTGCGCAATTTCTCCCCCCTGAAGATAGCCACCACCTCAAACCAGTCCACCTCATACTGCACAAGGGAACAGCGCATGAGGTGCTCCAGGCTGGTGTCCGAGAGGCACCCTCTGTCCCACGTCTTGATCAGGTTCTGCTTGCTGAACCCGCGTTCACATTCCACCGTGCTTAACGGCAGAACAGCGACGGCCTGCCACATCTTCATGATGTTGGGGAATGACTGCTGCCAGCCGTCGTCACGCATCATGTTCGAAAGCGCCTGGTGGAAATCCTCCCCGTTGTGCTGGCTGAACAGTGTGGATGTGAACATCCACAGTTCGTTGCTCGCCTTCTTGAAGTCGAAGCCTGGTGTACGGGGTGGGGGTCAAATAGGGCTAAAGTAGCATACACCGGGTGGAATGGGGCGTATTAGACCAACAGAAGACGAAGACAAGCCATGGATGGTGCACCAAATTCAAACAACATGCATGATCACAACGGACAGATAGTCAACGCTTCACCACACACCTGGCAGCTTCTCGTGATAGAGTTTGTGCAGTTTTCCCAGCCAGCGCTTGAACGCCTCAACGCGCTTGGCGTCGTCCGTGAGGTAAGAGGCGGTGTGGAACAGCTTCGAACCCTCCAGGTTGGCGAGATCACGCATCCGCCACTCCAGTTCCTTGTCAATCGCGCGGACAAATTTCAATGATAGCTCATAGCAGGTTGTCACGTCGCCATCAGTTTCCTGCCCTTTCAACGGCCGCTCGTGCAGAACGAATGTGAACGACACCGGATTTCCCTCGCAGTCAACGCCTTCAACTTTCATCTCGCGCTTGTCCTGCTTCTGGTGCTTCAAGAAGAAATCGGGAAGAGTCATGTACTCCCCGCTTCCAAAGGTGTGACCAGGTGCCCCGCTCAGGTACCGCGCCTTCAGCCGCATGCGCGTCTGCTCCACGATGTGCGCCACAAGCGTGACGTCGATCTGCATCAACCACAAGGAAGCGACGGTGGGGTGTAAGGGGCAGTGCACTTGTTCATTTGTCTTGTCACTATAGGTAAGCTCAAGTACTGACCTGTCTTTGCTGGAACCGCTGGTTCAAGTGGTTCAGCTCCCACAGGATGTCAGCAAGAAAGCGTAGTAGCCAATGAAACTTGAACGAGGTCACAACCTCGTACAAGTCGGGCTTGTAGTCCTTGAGCACGACGATGGCGGCTGGCAAGACCTCGAGGAGCCGGGCAACGGCCTCGCCACGCGACAGCCACCGGACGGTGTGTATTCCCTGCGCCTCAAGACTCGTCTTGCAGAACACTCGTTGCAGGTTTTGAAACTTCTGGTACTGCACGCCGCTCCTCCCTATAAGCTCAGAAAACGCACGGACGACATCGTCTATCATGTTCAGCTCAGGGACAGCTTCAGCGGCATCTTTTGCAGCAAGTGCCTCCCTGCATGCTCAAAACAAGATACATGAGTTCATATCCTCTGAACTTGAAACTACCGAGCATAGACATCATAGTTACCGATGCGCGATGCAGTATGTTGACGCCAGGTGAGGTATACGCATTCTGAGCCGCGCCACCACTCCATTGTTCTTCCCCACCATGACGCTCGCTCCGTCGGTCGCGATGCCTGTTACTTTCTGCAAGTCCACACCAATACCGGTCAGGTATTGCACAACAGCGGAGGACAAAGAAGCAGCGTCAGCGCGATCCACGGTTATCAAGGTGAGGAACTCGTTGACGACGGCCCTGTTCTTGAGGTACGTGGCGTAAATGATGAGGTGTTTGCCGTGGATGCGGTCAGTGCTTTCGTCGAGCGAGAGGGACATCCACGGCGATTCCAGAAGGTGAAGCCGCTGCGTCTCCTGCAGGCACGCGGATGTCGCACGAAGGGATTCTTTGAAACCGTAACTGCAACACATACAACGCACAATTTAGATTAAAAACTCCCACTAACAGTCATTCGAAAAGCACAACAACGGACAATTAACGTACTCAGTGTAGTATGCACCGTAGCCGCCGTTGGGGGGAAGATCTGGAAGTCCTTCCTTAGCGAGAAACCAGCAGAGGGGGACGAACATCGCGATGGGTGCGTCGGCCTTGCAGACGAACATCGCGATATGCAGGCAGCGGATGATGTGGCGAGTTGACGCATCCGTCTTCTGCCACCTTGTCAAAGTCACTTGCTTCTCCTTTGCTGCAAGTGACCGAGCCTCGCTCTCCAGCGCCTGTTTATGTGCTCGGGTGGATGAGTGAACACGGATGGTTCCAATTTGCAAGTCACGGCCACCCTCACCCTTCACGCCGTAGCTCGTGCGAGCGGTAGGATCGCCGTACTTCATGCAGACACTGCATTTCAGCGAAGGTCTCCCGTTGGTCTGACGATGTAGCCGTAACCATTCGAATTTCCCTGCCCACTCAGTATCGTACCTGTGCTTGAACGCTGCGTACTCAGCTTCAGCGGTTTCGGTTGGTGGTTTGGGATCGGCACGAGGTTTGGTGCGCGTTGGTGATGCATCGTTCTTTGGTGGCGGTGCGCCCCAGAGCCTCTGCTGACTGTATTTCACCCCGATCCTCGGCCTTTTCCCCGGCGTGCTGTTCACGGTCGACGGGGACGCAGTGGAAGGCCTTGAGCTGCCTTCATCGCCGCCAGGAACAAGAACCAGCGACAGGTGCGGCTCAACAGCACTAGGAGAAGTGGGCCGCTCGACTGCAAACACATAGCCGACGCTTCGCACGGGCGAGGCGTCACGAGGCGGCTGTGCGATGGGAACGGTGAAATTATCAGAAATCTTGGGAAGAACGCCTAGAACTGAGAGCCCGTTTCTTTGGCCCCCAGACGGTCCCGATTCGGGCTCTTGCTCGGCTGGCATGACTGGCTGGTGCTACTCCGTGAGAACTCGGGGAAGTGCAAGAGAGAAGTGAGAGAGACGATTTCCGGTTGGAAAGGAAGGACGGAGGACCCCCTCCGCACCGCGAAAAACTGTACATGCAGCGAGGGAAACCATGCCAGGTACAGGCTGTTACGTGATGGTGTGGCATCTGCAGCACTGGGCAAGACGAGCCACGCATCGCGCCAGTTTTGCCGTGCTGTGGCAAAAACAGCCACAGTTGGCAGGGACTATGAGCTGTATTGGCAGCAAACACGGGTGCGCTGGCACGATTCTTGCCAAATGCACCAATGGGTGCAACGTTGGGGTCAGTGGGGGGGTTTGGCAGTTTTTCACCGCGTGGCACCGCGTCACAGGTGCAGTGTATGTGTAGTGTAGCAGAATCCTCGCTTCGAGGAACTCGGTATCAGGGTAAGTGGGAAAGAACACTAATGAAGTCAGGGGAACGAAACGCGAACTTTGATTCTATAAGGGTAAAAAATTTCAAACAAATTTCCAGTCAGTGTTTAAAGCCTGGGAGTCTGACTACGTCAGGGTACTTAAAAAAAAGCGGACGCCAGTCAGGGTAATCAGGGTAAAGTACCCTGACATTTTGGGGCCTGCAGAGTACACCTTATCTGGACCAACAAACAGCCCACCAAGAATAAAGAATAAAGTAATAGAAAGCCAATTCTGAAACTGGGGAGGACCCTGTCAGAAAATATAATTATATGTTCTGTTATATAACTGCCTGTAGGATTTACTGTAGTGTAGCTCCTATTGTTTGGTGGTGCACCTTTGTTCATTTTGCTATATGTACCTTGTGTGCTATAGTGAAACGATCATTCCTCTCCAATTCTCTCGACACTCAATCCTTAGCTCATCTCCCTAGCCATGGCTCATCATCCTCGTCACTTATTCTAACATGGTATTAAGAGCGTAACCTTCCTAGGACTTCAACTTCAATGGGCCCACCACCTACGTACCTGCTAGCCTAGGCCCCGGCCCGTCGCCCCTTGGCGTCGCCCATAGCCCCTAGGCTCGGCCCCTTGGCCCGTCGCCCCTAGGCTCGGCCCCTTGGCCCGTCGCCCCTAGCTCGGCCCCTCGGCCCCGCTGGCCCCGTTGATTCCGTCGCCCGCGCCCGGCCCGTACCTAGCCTCGCGACCGGCCCGTACCCTGCCCGCGCTCGGCCCCGTTCCTAGCCCCGCGCCCGGCCCGTACCTAGCCTCGCGACCGGCCCGTACCCTGCCCGCGCCCGGCCCCGTCTCTCGCCCGCGCTCGGCTCGTACCTAGCCCCGCGCCCGGCCCGTACCTAGCCCAGCGCACGGCCCCGACCCTAGCCAGCGCCCGGCCCCGTACCTAGCCCGCGCCCGGCCCGTATAACGCCCGCGCCCGGCCCCGTACTTAGCCCGCGCCCCGGCCCCGTACCTGCCCAGCGCGCGGCCCCGTACCTGCCCAGCGCCCGGCCCCGTACCTGCCCAGCGCCCGGCCCCCGTTCCTGCCCAGTGCCCGGCCAAGTACCTGCCCAGTGCCCGGCCCCCGTTCCTGCCCAGTGCCCGGCCCCGTACCTGCCCAGCGCCCGGCCCGCGTTCCTGCCCAGTGCCCGGCCAAGTACCTGCCCAGCGCCCGGCCCCCGTTCCTGCCCAGTGACCGGCCCCGTACCTGCCCAGCGCCCGGCCCCCGTTCCTGCCCAGTGCCCGGCCAAGTACCTGCCCAGCGCCCGGCCCCCGTTCCTGCCCAGTGCCCAGCCCCGTACCTGCCCAGCGCCCGGCCCCGTACCTGCCCAGAGCCCGGCCCCGAACCTGCCCAGCGCCCGGCCCCGTACCTACCCAGCGCCCGGCCCCGTACCTGCCCAGCGCCCGGCCCCGCACCTGCCCGGCGCCCGGCCCCGTTCCTGCCCAGTGCCCGGCCCCGTACCTGCCCAACGCCCGGCCCCGTACCTGCCCAGCACCCGGCCCCGTCCCTAGCCCAGCACCCGGCCCCGTACCTGCCCAGCGCCCGGCCCCGTCCCCTAGCCATGGCCCCTCGCGACCTGCCGCCCCTAACCGCGGCCCCGGTGCCCTGTTGCGCCATGGTGGGTGAGGGGGTGGCAAGAGGGGGTTCCTCCTGCCCGCGTGCCCTACAGTCGCACGCGCAGCTCCGCCCCCGCCCCCCTCCCCCCCCTCCATGGGGATGGCGGGTAGAGGGGGGGGAAACTTGGAGGTTCAGGGGGAGACAGGAGGGGATCTGCAGCACCAGGTCCCCCACCTTTCTCCTACCTCCCCCTGCTGCGGGAGCAGCAGAGGGGGGGAGGGGACCTGCAGCACCTGCCCGCCCCCCCTTCTCCTCCATCTCTCTGCTGCGGGTGCAGCAGTGGGGGGGGAGGGGATCTGCAGCACCAGCCCCCCCCCCGCCCCCCCCCCCCCCCCCCTCCCCCTTCTCCTCCATCCCCTGCTGCAGGTGCAGCAGTGGGGGGAGGGTATGGGGGTGGCGGGTGTGGGTGCAACTGCGGGGTGGCGGGTATGGGGGTGGCGGGTGTGTGAACCATCCCCTCCTCCTCCTCCACCTTCGTCTCCCACTGCTGCAGCTGCCGCTGAGGGGGGTGGGTGTGTGGGAGCCGAGGGAGTGGCGGGGATGGGGGGTGGGGGAGAGGGGGCAGGCCGCCGTGTGAAGCAGTGCAGGGACTGTTGTGGGTGGGGCAGGGGCTGGAGGATGGAAGGGGGGAAGGGGGGTGAGTTACAAGGGAGTAGCTAATAAGGGGGGTGAGTTTAAGGGGGTGGTTGAATTGAGGGTGAGGACCTGGGGGTTGTTAAGAGGGCCGGCCGGCAGTGAGCTGTCACGCTCATGCACGCTCCCCCACCTCCTCTCCTCATCCCTCACTCACCTCCCCCTTTGTAAAGGGGGTTAGTAAGAGGGATGGCCGGCAGTGAGCGGTCATGCTCATGCATGCTCCCCCAACTCCTCTCCTCATCTCTCTCACTCACCTCCTCCTTCGTTCTTATCTCCTCTCACCTCCTCTCTCTCTCTCTCTCTCGCCTCCTCCTCCTCACTTACCTCTCTGCCGTCTTACACTGCACCGGGTGTACCCCTTCAAGGGGTGTTCTACACAGGTTTTCTCCTGCAGGCAGTTCTGGGGGTGTGTCAGAAAATATAATTATATGTTCTGTTATATAACTGCCTGTAGGATTTACTGTAGTGTAGCTCCTATTGTTTGGTGGTGCACCTTTGTTCATTTTGCTATATGTACCTTGTGTGCTATAGTGAAATGATCATTCCTCTCCAATTCTCTCGACACTCAATCCTTAGCTCATCTCCCTAGCCATGGCTCATCATCCTCGTCACTTATTCTAACAGACCCATCAAGAGAGTATAGCCCACCACTACAATAAAGCCCACAGAACAGACTGAACAATCGTCCAAAACAAGAGTTTTGAGTCAGGGAGTTCAGCCCTTTATCAAAGTACATTGCAGAGAATCGGAGCAGCATGCGTCGAGTACAGCTCCACAAAATGCCACCGCGATCTCTGTCCACCTATTACGAACCGTTTCTACTGAGTGCGGGGAAGGGGAAGCGCCTTGCCGTGAAACGCGGAGAAGCGGCAGTCCGCAGCGAGCACCGAGCTAGACTCGTAATCTGCCGTCTCGCCATTTAGTAATCCCGCTCCTTCCGCCGAGTCCGCCGTTATCGGCCGCCCCAGCGCGTGCGCGAGCGTGTTGTAGTCCATAGTGCGCTTCGCGCGCCCCTCGCGATACGTCTGCCCCATGATTCTGTGCACCTGATGTCAGAATCCCAACCACTAGACCATTGGGATAAAAGGGCTTGTTAAGTAGCGGTTCAGTGCGCCCATAACCCCCCAGGACAACATGCCTGTAACCCTTCCCTAGGATCAAATTACCGGGAAACGGCAACCCCCCCCCCCCCCCCAACCCCCCTCCCCCCAAAAAAAAAAAAACGCGTCAGGGCAAGCCTCGACATTCATCCTGACGCTACAGGGAAGAATGTCAAAGGAATGAACGAGAATGAATGAACTATGAAAGAGTTGGGTACAAGTACTAACCCTAATTGGGTTGCACCCCTTATGGGCTACACCACTATAGCCTACACAAATGTAAGCACTAGAACATTCTGACACACCCCCATAGGCAAAGTAGGGGAGAACAAGTGGTCACAAGACCAGTCAAGAAAAGCAAGGGTGGATCACAAAGTCACCACACAGTCCGAGCACATGCAAAGGGCCACAAGGCCAGTTCACATGCAGAGTTATATAAAAGAGAACAAACAATACAGTGATCATACCCTAACAAGAGTAAGCATGCAGGTATATATATAGATCACAGTACGAGAAAAGTCACGCAGTGAGCAAGTGAGGCAAAGTAGGCACAAGGCCTAACACAGTAGAGAAGCGCTGATGATCACCAGGCGGAAGTGCCTTGGTGAATATATCAGCAGTGTTGGCCCTAGTGGCCACGTACGCAAGACGAAGCTGGCCACGCTGCTACAACTCTCGAGCAAGGAAGTATCGCAGAGCGATGTGCTTCGTTCTGTGCTCCAGTCTGTGCTCCTGACACAAGGCAATCATGGCCTTGTTGTCTACGTACAGAACTGGAGGCGAACGAGGCTGCTCTCCCAAGTCAGTCAGCAGGTAGGTGAGCCAGCGTAGCTCCTGTGCAGCCATGGCCCTAGCGTAGATCTCAGCCTCACAACTGGAGCTGAGAACCGAAGACGAGCGGGTAGACCGCCAGGACACAGAGCCGGAACCAAGGCTAAAGGTGTAACCCTATGATGACCGCTGCGTAGCTGAGTCGTCAACCCAAGAAGCGTCTGCGTGTCCAGTGAGGACAACTGGACCCCGTCCTCCAAGCACGAGCCCCATGCCCGACGTATTGCACAAGTAACGCAGTACCCTCTTCGCAGCATCCCAGTGCACCTTTTGGTGCCTACCGGGAGCCACGTAGCGAGCCAGGAGGCTGAGACGGTACGCGAGGTCAGGTCGTGTGCACGTCATCAGGTACATGAGGCAACCCACAAGCTCTGGGTACGGACCACTCGGCTCTACGGACTCGTCCGAAGGTGGAGCTGAGAGCGAGTGGCTGGTAGACAGAGGATTGGGCTGTCGCGAGGAGAACTGGAAACCAAAACACTGAAGGACCTGGTGCACCATGTGTGACTGAGTCAGGGTGATGGTGCGCCGTGCTCTGTCCCGGGTGATCTGCAAGCCAAGATAGCTGCGCAGTTCACCCAGGTCAGTGTAGGTGTGTCTCTTCTGTAGTTTCGACTTCACAAGGGTCAGTGCCTCAGTGTCAGCAGTGGCAAAGACGAGGTCGTCGACGTACACGAGGACGTAGAACGGCGGCAGGGAGGTGTCGGTGCGTAGAAACATCGACGGGTCAGCAGTAGAAGGAGCAAACCCAAGAGCCGCAAGTGTAGTCCTCAGTGTGTCGTGCCACTCGCGAGGCGCCTGGCGGAGACCGTAGACTCGCTGGCGGAGGCTCCATTGGGTACCTGCACGAAACGACCCAGTGAAGCCTGGTGGTCGGCGCAGCCATATCTCCTCGTGCAGGCTGCCGTGCAGGAAAGCTGTGCTGAATTCCAGAGAGTGCAGCTCGTAGTCACGCTGAGCAGCGACGTGCAGCAACACCCGAAGAGTAGTCATCTTCGGGGTGGGGGAAAAGGTCTGGAAATAGTCAACCCCCTGTTGCTGACTGAAACCTCGAGCAACGTAACGCGCCTTGAAGGCAGGCGGAGAACCCGGCGGCCGCTTCACCCTAAAAATCCACATGCCATCGACTATGTTCGCCCCACGTGGGGGAACCTCGTCAATGTAGGTGCCTGTGGACTTCCAGGATGCCATCTTGGCATCCATGGCTGCCTGCCACTGAGAGGAGTAAGGACCCGTAATCGCCTCTGCGTAAGAGCGTGAGGTCGGGATGTGTGGTGCATCCGGGTCTCCCTCAGGGGCAAGCAGCATGGAAGCGAAACGAGGTACAGCAGCTGCAAGACACTCAAAGTCCTCCTGCCTGTCCTCAAGGACGTCCGTGCCAAGAGCTCACTCACCCCCGACGGACGGAGGACTGGCAGATGCAGACTCAGCAACAAGAGCAGTGGCGTAGTCTAGACGACAGGCAGCAGCAAAGTCAAGCAGCTCAGCAACGAGAGCAGATGCAGTAGCAGACTCAAAGGAAGGGTCAGTGGCGAGGAGAAGAGCGACAGTGGGACTGGCAGCACTAGCGCGGTCAGACTCAGGGTCAGGGACCTCAGGAAGAGAGGACACAGGAGGAGCAGGCAGAGGAACACGCAGTGGAACAGAGGAAGGACGGAGTGCCATAGCGTGTGTGCCGGGGACAGGAGGAGGACGCGGACGAGGAACACGACGAGCAGTGCGAACAGGCGAGATAGGACGAGACACAGGCTCACGATGCTCTGTAAGACCGCCGGACTGCTCAGTGTAAGGAGAAGGAGCAGGCAGTGGAGAGGCCGGCTGTAACGGCGGCTGCGACTGGTCAGGCGGGGAACACAGGAGGGGAGGAGTAAGGCCGGTAGAAGACGGGGTACCAAGAACCTGCTGAAGCAGGGGAACGAAGTACGGTCGCGGCCGCACAGTGCCACCAGGGTCAACGGCTCCAGCTCCTCCAGCTCCAGCACCTCCAACACCAGAGCCTCCAACTCCAGCGTCTCCTGCACCAGTGCCTCCAACTCCAGCTCCTCCAGCTCCAACGCCACCAGCGCCAGAGCCGCCAGCACCAGTAGCTCCAGACTCCGTAGGGTCTCCAGCTCCAGCACCCTCAACACCACCAGTCCCGGCAGCTCCAGTACCCCGGGTACGAGCACCTCCAGGACCAGTGGCCGCAGTACCTCCAGTAACACCAGCTCCAGTAGCAACTCCAGCACCTCCAGCTCCAGCAGCTCCAGCACCTCCAGCTCCGGTAGCTCCACTCCGAAGGCGTGCGCGTCGAACAAACCACTCACGCAGTTGCTGCGGAGACAGTCTCGGCGAAGCACCCGCAGAACCTCCAGACAAAGCAGCACCCTGAGGCTCAGCACCTCCAGACTCCGCACCCTCCGACGCAGCACCCCCAGGCTCAACACCCTCAGGCTCAGCACCCCCAGTCTCAGCACCCTCAGACCCCGCACCCCCAGGCTCCGCACCCCCAGACGCAGCACCCCCTGACGCAGCACCTCGAGCAGCACCTGAGCCGACAGCTACCTGAACAGGCGCAGGACTAGGGAGAGGGTCTACCAGAGACACACTTGAGGGAGCAGGACCCTGGGGCGGGAGGGGGTCTACCGGAGGGGGACCGGGAGCAAGGAAGAGCGGCGGGGGCGGGGCAGGGGCAGAGCGGTAGGGGAAGAGACGGTAGAAGGGAACCGACTCGTTGAATATGACGTCCTGAGACGGGAGGACACGTCGCGAGGTAGGGTGGTAAAACTGCCAGCTAGGCGCGTCAGGGACAAAGCCAAGGAAGACGCAGGGGATAGCACGGGGGGAGAGCTTGTCCGCGGACGTATGGTGAACAAAGGCACGAGATCCCCAGACCCGGAACACCGACGCATCGCCAACCTCCCCCGTCCAACACAGTGTGTGCGAGGTCTCCGGCAAGGAGACACGGGGCCAGAGGTTGAGCTGATGTGCAGCATACCGGACCGCAAACGGCCACAGAAAATGGGGAGAAGCCGCATGGATCATGGAGGTACGAGCAACCTCCATGACTAAGCCAATGCTGCGCTCAGCAATCCCATTTTGGTGAGGGGAGTCCGGAAGCGTGAACAATTGGAGTATGCCCTCCCCACGACAAAAGTCCCGCAAGAGACTGGAGGAGAACTCACCACCTCTGTCAGAGTGCAGACGCAGGACAGGAAGGTCCTGACCAAACTGCTCGCGAAGCTGGAGACGAACTGTGCAGATCCAAGGGATCAAGACATCAACGACCTGGCCCTTGCTGCGCAAGGGGAAGACCGTGGTGTACCACGTGTAGTCGTCAACGACCAACAGAAATTAGCGCTCGCGGCTCTGTCCACTAACGCGGGCTCGGCCCCACACGTCCATGTGGAGAGTCTGCAGGGGAGCAGTCGTCGGGGGAAACGAGGAGGAGTGAGGAGCGGCGCGCTGCCGCCCCTCGACGCAAGGAAGGCAGGGCGGGGCAGGCGAGGGCGGGAGGGGAGGCAGAGACTTGGGTAGACCAGAGACAAGAAGACGAGAGTGCATGCCACGAAGGAATGGCAGAGAGGGGTGACCTAGGCGGTGGTGCCACAGAAGATTCTGGTGCGATAGGAGGCGGCACGAGCAAGAGTCGGCTACCTGACCTGACACGGACCCCTGAGCAGACGCACCTACCTGAGAAGGCTCGGTAGCGAGGGTGTACAGACTCACCATGGAGAGTACCAGACTCACTAGCACCTAGAGCAGCAGTGGCTATACCTGGGTTAGGCGGCACACACCGGTAACAGTCACCCTCAGCACTAACAGACAAAGCATACATAGCAGAAAGAATAGCATCAAAGTCTAGGTCAAAGATAGCAATCCTAGACTTAAGCAGATCTGCCCAGCGAGGGAGCTCGACGTCGTCACCCAGCGAGGGAGCTCGACGTCAGCACGCCAAGCAACGTCGAGGCGGGAGAAGCAGCGGTGCTGAGTGTGGAGCCGCCCGCAAGTCTGACCAGCACGGTCACCCGTGCGAATGTCATACGGGCAACTACCCCTAGACGCCCCACGCAGAAACGACTCACGAAGCTGCTGGGGAGACGGGGTCTCGCTCCGACGCTGCT